CCCTGAAGAACACAAATCACTCCAGAAAAAAGATACCTGCACACGTATGTTTATCGCAGCGTTGTTCACAATAGCAAGAACCTGGAAACAACCATGCTGCCCATCAAAAGAGGACTGGATTTAAAAAATGTGGTACATATACACGATGGAATACTATGCAGCCATAAAAAAGATCAAAATCTTGAATTTCGCAGTAACCTGGATGGAACTAGAGTCTATAATACTGAGCGACCTCTCACAGAAACAAAGATCCGAATATCACATGTTCTCACTCATATAATGGACCTTGAACATCCAATGTAATACTGTAAGAAAATGACTGACAGTACTGGGAAACTATGGGGGGGGGATGGGATTAACAGTAGCAAATATCTGTCTGGAGATGGGAAAACACCTCTTATCAACAGGGTGCCTGAATGAAACGTAATTGTACACCTAACCTTTAACTGTACCCCACAAAACCATAATAAAAAATACTGATTAAAAAAAAAAGAAAAGAAAAAGAGACAGTCTTAAACTGTGAGGACTGCACATAAACTTAATTGGATTGAAACTTTAGTTGAGAGCTAATCCAACTGAAGAAGTCCAAGGTACCCATCTTGCAATTCCATTCTAAGTTTGTGCATGTATATTTATGTTTCCCATCCAAGTGACCAGATCTAAGTAAGATACATCAAAAGATCTTTTTACCTCTAAAATGCAATAACAATTAATATTACAAAATAATTTATGTCATATGTTTTATTGTTATTTTTTAAGCAAATCACCTCCAAGATGGATAAAACTAATCTTGATAGTGATCACAAGTGGATTTTCCCTTTATCAATGTCTTAATGGATGGTGAGCATAAAATAGTTGGTATATGTTTGCTCCTTAACTGTTGGATTTTATTTTTATTGAGCCCTTAATTGTTTGGAATCCCTTTGGAGAGGACTTCGTTATACCTTATGTTACAAATAATGGTTATCTCCTTGTCACTGTCATTAGTCATCATATCACTGTCACTCACGTTATCATAGTATCCATTGTTCCTGGTATCTACCTTATACAAAGACCTGGAAAAATACTTTTCTTTTTTTGAAACAGGTAGGTTTCTTGCGTTTTTCTTCTTTGCCTTAGAAATATCAATGATTAAATGCTCAGAAGAAGTCTTGCAAACAAGGCATTTTTCTTTGTAGCATTGACAGGTTTCAGCTAATTGAGGCCTGGATAGCAAGACTGCCCTGCCAAGCATCACTGACCTTTTTACATTGGAATATCTGGGTGGCTTAGCCAATTTCTGGTGGCTGAGAGGCTTGGGTGGCATGACTTTATTTCGTGGATGAAGTGAACAAGTTGGTCTGACTATCTTATCTGGATAGGATGAATTGACTTGACGGACTGGCTTCTGGGCATAGGCTGGCTTACATGATTTTTCTAGATTGCATGTCCTATGTGACTTTTCCAAGTGAGATGACCTGAATAATTTTTTTGAGCATGGTGGCCTGGATAACTTTTTTGTATTCAATGACTTGATTAACTTTTCTTCATTGTTTTGTTTGGATAATCTTTCTGGACTTGAGGACTTGGTTAACTTTTCTGCACTGAATGATATGGATGACTTTTCTGAATTCAAGGGCCTAGATAATTTGTCTATATTGGGTAGCAAATGTTGATTTTCTGGACAGCATGGACTGGCTGTATTGGGTTTACCAAATAATGACTGTGTTGTTGTACCTTCTTTCTTGAACCTGAAATTATAGAAAATTTGGAGTATAATAATTTAAAACAAAAGAGTCGTATTACTATTATCAGAAAACTTAGGATACTGTATTAGCTTAGATCTTTGCTTTATTTTGGGCTCTAGTAGGAAAACTGAACACAGTATGAATTGGAGTGTAGTGAAAGCCATGACTCAGGTTACAGATATGAACTCACACTGAATGCTTTTTCTTAAGAGTTTTTTACTATTTTAATCATATTTGATAACCATTTAGTCCACATATGAAATGAAACAAAGTTGCTTCAAATCTTCTGTTAACAGAGAAATAGGAAAAGAGAGAGAAAGAATATCTTACTTATTCCAGAAATCAAATTTTTTATAAAAAATTTCACAAACAGATAACATATCATAAGGAAAAAAACAACCTCTTTCATCATTGTTTTCCTATCATATTTACAACATCAACTTATCTATTTGTGCGTATTTAATTTCATAATATTCCTCTAAAACCAAAGGAATAGGGCTTTGGTATTTTACATTTTAGCCACCAGTCCTTGGAATGGAAAAATTTTAGGGCACTAGTATGTACGAGGACTGACAGTTAAGTTCATGAACTCATCCTAGAAAAAGTGCTACATACCTCATTGCCGAATATCACTATGGTCACCTACGAAGTACTCCCCTTGGGAAGTTATGCACTGATGCCAGTGCCTAGGCCATACATCATAGCAGTTTTGGAACTCTTTTTCTGGAAGGGCCATCAGAGCTGTTGTATTGCCCTTGATGTCCTGAATGTCATCAAAATGTTTTCCTTTCAATATTTCCTTTATCTTCGGATAAAGAAAAAAATCACTGGGAGCCAGATCAAGAGAGTAGGGAGGGTGTTCTAGTACAGTTATTTGTTTCCTGGCTAAAACTTCCTCTCAGACAGTGCTGTGTGAGTTGGTGCATTGTCGTGATGCAAGAGCTCCTTCAGGACCATTTTTGCACACACATTTCTCATGCCAAGATTTTCAGTTAAGGTTTTCCTAACTGTTTATCTATCAATATTTATTTGGTCTATGCTTCTTACAGTCAGCTGATGATTTTAATGCACAATTTGATGAATTTTTGCAATGTTTTCATCAGTTCTACTCGTTATTGGCCATCCTGATCTCTTCATCAGTGACACTTTCTGCCCCCTCAGAAAAACATTTAATCCATTTGTATATTGCCATTTTCCTCATGGCGTTAGCCTCCATAAACTTGGACTAATATGTCCGGCTTCACTTCTACTCATGCCAAGTATAACAAGAAATTTAATTGTTGTTCATTGCCCTAATTCAAGCTCCGACATTCTTGTGATGGCACACAAAAACATGAAACAATTATGAATGTTGCTCAGCAGCACTGCTACACATCAACAGGAACATAGCTGTGAGACACTGATATACCAAGGTTATGAAACCTTACCGAGTTGTTTGTACAGTGCTGCCAATGTAAGCACATGTTGAGTTCGTGAACTTAATTGTCATACCTTATATACCAGGACCAGTAACAACAGTGAATAATATTTCATGCAATTAAATCTTAAGGTGGTAAATTATCCAAAACGTTTTATTATCTTTGGAAAACAGAGACCCATTCTCTCTCTCTCTCTCTCTCCTTATTCTCCCGCTCTTATTCAAATACTCATGCCATCTTTTACTACACTGAATTTTTTTTAACTTAGTTTATATTCAAGGGGTACACATATGTGTTCGTTACCAACACTGAATTTAAAATGAAATTAATAACTTAGAATTCAGCTAAAATCTGAATAGGAGACAGCTTTGTCTAAAGTTGATAATGTTCTTGATAATATTTAATAACCGATATAAGTAAGTGAAAGTACCTACAAGAGATTGGTAGCCCTTTAGAAATCTAGAGTTTGCCGGGCTCAGTGGCTCAGCCTGTAATCCCGTGCTTTGGGAGGCCGAGGTAAGTGAATTGCCTGAGCCCGCGGGTTCGAGACCCGCCTGGGCAACCTGGCGAGACCTCATCTCTACAACAAATCAAAAAAAAAAAAAAATTAGCCAGGCGTGGTAGTGTACGCCTGTAGTTCCAGCTACTTAGAAGGCTGAGGCAGAAGGATCGCCGGAGCCCAGCAAGTCGAGGCTGCGGTGGCTGGGAACATGCCACTGCACTCCAGTCTGGGCGACAGAGTGAGACTCCAACTCAAAAAAGAGAATGAAAAAAACAGAAATCTAAAGTTAACATTAAGTAATCTGGACAACAATGAAACATCCGTTATATGTATACACACACACACACACACACACACACACACACACACACACTCACTCACACACACGTTGCATTCTTAATTTAAATGGGTAAAACTTACATTCTTGATTTGAGGGCATCATCGTGCGTACAATTATAATGGAGAAAACAAAAACAGATCAAGACAAAGCTCATCATCATAACACCAATTAGGATGGCAAGTAGACGTCCCCTGAAATTTTCTATTTTTGTCTCTATTGATTCAAGGAACTTAGCTCTGCAATAGATGTATCATCAGAGAAGGTGTTAGGTAACCAAGTTTTCTTCCACTTTGTTAGTAGTTTGCCACTATAGATCAAAATCAAATCTCATCATCAATTATTTTTTAAGCCTGATAAATGTACCACTGTTATCTTTCTTCCCTCTATCACGCCCCCACCACAGCCTAGAAATTTAATTTGGGAGACATTTCTGGCTAATCCATATCATATCATTCAGAGGTAACCTCCGAATCATGGCTTACATTTTTGAGCGTGTGTGCCCTTGTGTGCCCAGTGTGTATATCATTCCTGTATGAGTGCACTTCAGTGTTAATGTATGTGTGATTAGAAAGGGGATGAGACAAGAAAAAACTCTTATTGAAAATCTACTGTATGCAAAGTCCCCTCCCGGATTCGTTTATATAGTATTATTTAGTTTGGTTTGGGAGGGAATGTTGGATTGGGTTGAGAAAGAGGGGACCAAGGGAGACCATAAGTCTATGCCCTTTATGCTTACTTATATTTTTTTATTGGGTTTTTTACACAAGACTAAAAGTATTATTAGCTGTTGTTCTAAAATTCTTGAAGACCTACTAATGGTAACAGCAGACTTCTCAAACTCAACTAGTTTTTATAATTAAGCGCTTGAATACATAAAATAATAGATCATAATTTGTAAGTTTTTAGGTTAGACACATACCTGTAGTAGAAGATCCATTACTTTGGCTTGTATTTAAACAATTATTTGTCCAAATGGACAAAAGTAGGACATAAATAAAAAGACTCATGTCCAGAGCTCTGTTCAAATATTTATTCTACTAACATAACCACTGCATTTTATGTGGTTCAGCCTGTTCTAAGGGTTTATGACATCATTATCACTTTGTGTCTCAGTGTGACAACATAATGTTACCATGGGGAAGCATAAGCTTCTTTGTACAAGTTTTATCAAATGACTTTTAATCATTTATTTCTTTTTCACATCAAGTACTCATCTAATTCAAAACAAGACAATTGAAGCATCATTAATCAGAGAAAGAAGTATTCAGAGAAGGGAAAATGAACTAGCTCTAGAAATTGAAGAACTATTTCTCCTTATTAAATGGTAAGGAGGCGTTTTATAACCTATTATGGGCTGAATTCTTACATTCTCCCAAAATTCATATGTTGAAATTGAATACCCAAATAATGTTATTTGGAGGTGGTGTCTTTCAGAACTAATTAGGCCTTGAAGGTGGAACTCTCATGAATAGAATTAGTGCCATAAGAAGAGGCCTGAACGCTAGCTCATTCTTTCTACCATGTGAGGATGCAAGAAAAAGTAAACAGTTTTCAGTTAAAAGAGAAGTCTCACCAGAGTCCAACTATGCTGGCCCTCTGATTTCAGACTTCTAGCTTCCAGAACTGTGAGAAATAATTTTTTGTTGTTTATAAGCCACCCAGGCAGCCGGGCTCGGTGGCTCAGCCTGTAATCCCGCGCCTTGGGAGGCCGAGGTGAGTGAATTGCCTGAGCCCGCGGGTTTGAGACCCGCCTGGGCAACTTGGCGAGACCTCATCTCTACAATAAAAATCAAAAAATAGCTGGGTGTGGTAGCGCGCGCCTGTAGTTCCAGCTACTTGGAAGGATGAGGCGGAAGGATCGCTGAAGCCTAGCAGGTTGAGGCTGCGGTGACCGGGAACGGCCACTGATACTGAGGAACAGTGCTAATGGGTAGAAGCTGGAAGAGTTTTGAAGTGCATGCTAGAAGAAGCTGAGATTGTCATGAACGGACTTTAAAAACTGATATAAAAGCCGGGTGTGGTGGCTCACACCTGTAATCCCAGTACTTTGGGAGGCAGAAGCGATAGGATTACCTGAGTTTAGGGGTGAGCAACATGGTGAGACCTCGTCTCTACAATAAATCATTAAAAAAATAGCTGGGCGTGGCGATGCATGCCTGTAGTTTCAGCTACTTGGAAGACTGAGGCAGGAGGATCACCTGAGCCCAACAGACTGAGGCTGTGGTGGCCGTGAGCATGCCACTGCACTGCAGCCTGGGTGACAAAGTAAGACTCTAACTAAAAAAAAAAATTGATATATAATAGTACATATTTATGGGATACATGTGATATTTTGATGCATGCATAAATTATGTAATTATCAAATCAAGTTAATTGGGAAATCCATCACCTCAAACATTTTTTGTGTGTGTTGATAAAATTCCAAATCTTCTCTTCTAATTATTTGGAAATATACAATAAGTCATTGATAACTAGAGTCTCTCTTCTATGTTACCAAACACTAGAAGTTATTTTTTCTATATGACTACATTTTTGTACCCATTAACCAACCTCTTTTCATCCCTCCCTTCTTTTATACCCTTCCTGGCCTTTGGTGACCAACATTCCTCTTTCTACCTTCATGAGATAAACTTTTTTATCACCCACATATAAGTGAGATCATGCAATATTTATCTTTCTGTGTCTGGCTTATTTCACTTGACATAGTATTCTCTAGGCTCATCTGTTTCTGCAAATGACAGAATTTCATTTTTCTATGGCTGAATAATATTTCATTGTGTATATATATCCCATTTTCTGTATCATCTGTTGATGGATAGTTAGGTTGATTTCAGATCTTGACTATTGTGAATAGTGCTGCAATAAACATAGGAATGCATATATCTCTTCATTATACCGATTTTCTTTCTTTTGGGTATACCCAGCAGTGGGATTGCTGGATTATGTGGTAGTTCTAATTTCTTTTTTTTGAGAATCCTCCATTCTGTTTTTTATAATGTATGCACTAATTTACCTTACTACCAAGAAGAAACTCAAACAACTCATCAAAAAATCAAATAATTGGGTTAAAATGGCAAATGATCTGAAAAGACATTTCTCTAAAGAAGATATACAAATGACCAACAGAAATATGAAAAAAATCTCGACATCACTAATTACCAGAGAAATGCAAATCAAAACCACAATGGTATCATTTCACCCCAGTTAAAATGACTTTTATCAAAAAGACAAAAGATAACATATCCTGTTGAGATTGTGGAGAAGAAAACTCTAGTACACTGTTGTGAAAGGAATTTTAAAGGTGATTCTGGTTAGGGCTCAGAAGGAAAAGAGGAGTGCTTTAGAGAAAGCTTCTGTCGTCTTAGAAAATATATAAACAATCATGTACAATATGTTGGTAGAAATATGGACAGTAAAGGCCACACTGTTGAGGTCTAAGACAGAAACGAAGAACATGTTGTTGGACAATAAAGAAAAGACGATCATTGTTATAAAGTGGCAAATAACTTGGCTGAATTGTGTTAGTGTCTTAGTGTTCTGTGGAATGTACAACTTGTAAGCAACAAAAATAGAAATTTAGCTGAGTTTCTAAGTAAAGTATTGAAGGAATGGCTTGATTCCTCCTTTCTGCTTATAGTAAAATGCAACAAGAAAGAAATGACTTAGAATTACTAAGCAAAGAGGAACTGGAACTTAAATATTTGGAAAATGCCAGCCTATTCATACTGCAAAAAATGAGAAAGCATATTTGGAAGAGAACACTAAGTGGGTGCCCAACCAACCCTTTGATAAGCAGATTAGTATGGGTGTAAACCACATGTTTAATCAACTACCCCAGCAGGAAAACAGCCAGTTTGAACTGAAGCAGAAGGGGGCAGGAAGGAATGAAGAAAGGTTGTTGGACTTTTTGGATTTTATAGGACAGGACCATAGAGCTATTTGGCTAGGACATGCTGTATTCTTCAAGGCAAGGAAAAAAACGACCCAAAAGGTGACTCAGAGGTAATCAGTGCTATCTCCTTAGTTTCAAAAGAGGGAAGCCATCGCCTTGCTTTCTTTTTAATTTTTTAACTTTTTAACTTTTTTTATTTTTAAAATTTTTTTATTTATTGTAGAGATGAGAGCTCACCAAGTTTCCCGGGCTGGTCTCAAACCTGCAGACTCAGCCTCACAAAGTGCTGGGATTACAGGCTGAGCCACCAAGCCCTGCCACTGCCTTGCTATCAATAGGTCTGTAGACCTCTGCCCAAAGTTGCAGGGGCAGAGCTACGCAATGCTGTAGGAGTTTGCTACCTGGAAGAACCCTAGAAGTGGGACCCCCCACCCAACAGAGCTGTAGGTATGGGAATGGTACCCCAGGGGGTTCGGAAGACAGGACCGCACGGGGCCTGGAGAGCAAAGTATGGAGCCAAAGAGGACCATTCTTGAGCCTTGATATCTAATGGAATTTGCCTTGTTAGGTTTTGTACTTACTTGGAACTTGTCACCCCTCTTTCCTCCCTATTTCTCCTATTTGGAATCAGAATGTCTATTCTTTACCTTTTCCACCATTTTACTTTGAAAGCACATAATTTGTTTGGTTTTACAGTTTCACAGTTGTAGAAGAATTTTACCTCAGGATGAATTGTATCTCCAGTCTCACTCATATCTGATTTAGATGATACTTAGATGAGATTTTGGATTTCAGACTATTTATTTTTTAAAAGTTTATTTGTATTTATTTGTTCATTTTTATTTTAAAGATGCGGGGTACAATTCAGGATTAGGCATACAAGTGGTCATCATAGAGGTAAAGTTTGGGCCTCCCTTTGGTTCCCACTTCACCTGATTTGATATCAGGTACCTTTTCTGATGTTATGTTCCCTATTATTATTTTTTGAGTCAGGTTCTCACTCTGTCACTTAGGCTGAAGTGCAGTGAAACAATCACAGCTCACTGCAGCCTCAACTGCCTGGGCTCAGGATCCTTCTTACCTCAACCTCCTAAGTAGCTGGGACTACTGGTGCATGTCACCATGCCTGGCTAATTTTTTTTTATTTTTTGTAGAGATGAAGTCTTGTTATGCTACTCAGGCTGGTCTTAAACTCCTAGGCTCAATCAATCCTTCTGCCCCCACCTCCCAAAGTGCTGGGATTACAGGTGTGAACCACTACCACACCCAGCCAAGACTTTAGAGTTGATGCTGGCTGGAACAAGTTAAGATTTGGGGGGTTGTTGGGATAAAATGAAGGTATTTTGCATATAAAATGGACATGAATTTTGGAGGCCAGGAGCAGAATTATATGAACTGAATGAGTCTCCCTCAAAATTTATATGTTGAAATCTAATTCCCAATGTGATTGTATATGGAGGTGAAGTCTTTGGGAGGTAATTAAGTTATGAGAGTGGAGCCCTCATGAATGGGGACTAGTGCCCTTTTAAAGGAGATCTCGCCAGGTGTGGTGGCTCATGACTGTAATACCAGCACATTGGGAGGCGAAGATGAGAGGATTGCCTGAGCTCAGGGGTTGTAGACCAGCCTGGGCAACTTGGTGAGTCCTCATCTCTACAATAAATCAAAAAATTATTTGGGTGTGGTAGTGCATGCCTGTATTTCCAGCTACTTGGAAGGCTGAGGCGGAAGAATTGTTGGAGCCCAGCAGGTCGAGGCTGCAGTGGCCGTGAACATGCCACTGCACTCCAACCTAGGTGACAGAGGGAGACTCCAACTCAAAATATAAAAAAAGAAAAATTAAAATAAAGAAAAAGGAGACCTCAGAACTGTATCATTCTCTTTCCACCATGTGAGGATTCAATGAGAAATCAGCAGTTTGAAACTGGTGAAAAAAAGATCCTCACCAGAACCCAATCATGCTAGCACCTTGATCTTGGACTTCTGGTCTCCAGAACTGTGAGAAATAAACTTTTGTTGTTTATATGCCACCAGGTCTATGGTTCTTAATTGTAGCAGTAGCAGTTTTAACTAAGACACAACCTTGAAGTAGTTATTAAATCTTACAAGGTTAAA